TATTCAGGAGAAGCAAAAATCTGTTGATGCTGCGCCAGCGACGTGAGCAAAACAAAAACAGTTTTAAAAGTATTTTTCCAGTTAAAGATGGCGGTGAAGATGCAATTTTTAGCGGGCGTTAGATATGTATATGGTTTGTGAGCTGTTATATGGGGAAAAATACATTTCGAAAAATTTTGAATTGCGACTATTTTTGATTTAGGCATATAAATGCACACACAAAACTCGCATATACATATGTATGTATGTACATAAGTTTATAATCGTGTTTGACACACGAGCGAGTGATTAATAAAATAAAAGTCGTAAAATAAAATAACAAAAAAAAAAAATAATAATAAATGCCGCTACAGCAAGTGTTAGCAACTAGCGTAAGAAAATACAGTTACACTAACACCGACATTATTGCATAGATATTACTTCGGCCAACGGCGACGCTGCCGGCTATCAAAACAACAAATGGTAAAGGTGAAGTAACAAGTGCAACACCAAGTGAAAAATAAAACGAAATAAAAATATGAGGAATAAAATCAAAAATGGAAAAGCGAGTTTCAGTGTAAATCGCTTCTATGACATATTTTGTACGTTTGTATATATATATACATACATATGTACATTAGGGTGGTAAAAAAAAAAAAGAAATGTTGAGCAATCACACCAAGGAATGTTCTAAATGAAATTGTATACAATTCCTGAGAATCAATATTTTTCGATCGGAAAGCACTGGGTGCCCAAAACAAAGTTCCGCAGGTAGGTGATATCCAATTCGGAGAGCTTTTAGGGAGTGTTGATGAAATGCGAACCGAGTTGCTAAAACCTTAGTCGGGCTAAAGCCGGGCAGCTGAGAAGGAAGTGATCGAGAGAGAGATCAGTTACTTCCCGACCAGTTTCGATCACACCATCAGTGATCCCAGCGCTCTGATAGCCGTTTGGCTATGAGAGTAGATATTTACCCTCGTAGTCGGAAAAACATTGGTGCATAGCCAATCGGCTGCCTCTTAGTTATATAGCGGCCACCTCTGCCTGAAAGACTTTGCAAAGATCCGGCAGTCCGAGCGTAAGATCAATTGAGAGTTATTGACTGAAGACACCTCCTCTAACTCTCCCGTCCAGCTTCGATCCGTCCGTGGATATGTTTATTGGACCTCTGGAACAGCCCGCAGGTGCGACACTGATATTAGCATTTAGCGCTATAGCAGGAGTGATCCGGAGCACTACGCTGATTTCAACGCTCTCAACGCTCTAGTTTCCTAAGAAGAGTAGTATTTTCCAGTGAATTTCACCAGAAGATGGTCCCATATAACGTGATTGGCTTGATTATAGTTTCATATAGCCAATAGATAAGCTCAGGCTCGTACTATCGCCCCAGGTAACACATTATTGAAAGCCCCTCGACGTCAAAGAAGGCACCAACAGCAAAGTCTTTATCCTTAAGAGACTTGTCTATGGCTTTGACAATTTTGTGCAAGGCACATTCTACGGATCTATCCTTTAAGTAGGCATGCTGAGAGAGGCTCTATCGCTCCCGAGGAATCCCGTTTCTTATATGCAGATCAAAAAGTCTCTCAAAAGTTTTCAATTAAAAAGAAGAGATACTGGTTGGCCTGAAGTGCCTCGGATATACGTGAGAACTTTTTCGTGCTTTGGGGATGAATACTACCCTCACACTCCTCATGTCACAGGAATGTACCCTCTTTTTAAGCAGCTCGCATAGATGATGGGTGCCAGCTAGCGACACGAGACACCCAGAGCCTTTTGCAGCTGCGCAGACCTATAAAAAGTAGTTAATATTAAAAAGGGGTTAATGAACAGCAGGGTTTTCCGATCGAAAAATATTGATTTGGAAGGTTTCTATACTATTTCGATGAAAAAGTGTTTTTCCTCATAGAAAATACACGGGAAACTTCTTGGGTTTTGATCAGTTTTAAATATCATTAAAAAAAAAATATATATGTATGGGTATTTTTCTATTCCATTTAGAAAAATTTTAGGGCATGAGAGCTTAACACTTTAAACTTGCATGTATTTTTGGACCACCCTAATATACATATGTATGTACATATCCATGTGTATGCACCAATATATGTTTGTAAAAACAACACTATTAAAAATAATTACCGTCTAAAAAGCAGCATTTAAACGTTTTCCAAAGTTTTTGTTGTCTTGTTGGTGTTTCCCTAATTTCCCGCATCGTGCCGCTTTTGGCCTTTGTTGTATTTGTTCAACACCTTGCAGCGCATGCCACCACATGAGCTTCTATGTATGTACATACATACACATGTAGTATAGCCGACGAGTAAAATAATAGCAGTAAAATTCAAAACATTTGTTGGCAAATTTATTTTTTATTTATTGTTAATAATTTTAATTTAATATATACATACATAGTTCGATCTGCATATAACAGAAACCACATAAATTCAAAACTTGCACAAAGCTCAAAAAACGAATCAATCTTCAAAAAATTTTCATAAAAATATCGATTTTTTTAATTAGAGCCCTTAGAAATAATTTGAGTATGCAGTTTTGTAGTCCGTTCAATTTCAGTATAATAAAGTACAAGCTTTGAGTACCTAAAAATGACCGTTGATCTTTTAGATTTTTTTTTATGAAACGTTTCTATTACAGATCGAACTACATATACAGTATTGGACATATCTATAGCACCCTCCTTTCAAAGCGATATTGTTTGTTTGTTTTTAAAAGACCGCAAAAAAGTGCAACAAACTTTCCCTTAAATTTCAAACTTTTTTCTCAGAAGCTCTAGAATTTTTTTGAGTACACAGTTTTATAGCGCATTCAATTTTGTCTAATAATGTGCAAATTTCAAGTCGCTAAAGATTACCGTTGATTTTTTTAGAATTTTTTTGTCTCATTTGCTTCCATATATGGAGCAATTTATTTTTATATGGCAGAAACCCGCAACATCCTCGGCGAAAAAAATTCTAAAAAATCAACGGTAATTTTTAGCCACTTGAAACTTGCACATTATTAGACTGAAATTGAATGGGCTATAAAACTGTGTATTAAAAAAATTCTACCGCTTCTGAGAAAAAAGTTTGAAATTTGGGTGAAAATTTGTTGCACTTTTTTGCGGTCTTTTAAAAAGTTTTAAGCTAGAGTTTATGTGAGTTTTGTGAGAGAATGAACTGTATTTTAATTAAAAATTCTTAAAAATAAATAAATAAACATGAGTGGCAAACAATATCACTTTGAAATGGGTGTGCTATTGTATTGGCCAATACTGTATATAAAATAAAAATTATGAAAAGTAAATAAACATAAATTGCCAACATCATTTTGAATTTTGCCGCTAATTTTTTACTCGCAGCTGTACATGCATACATATGTACATACATATGCGCATATACCGGCTTTAATGCGCGTGATACAAGTTTTAGGTATTAATGTTTTTTTTATTTTCATGATTTAACAAAAGTTGTTGTTTTTTTTTTGCTTTTGATTTGTCAGGTGGCAAACGACCGGTGGCTGGCTGGCTGCGACTGGCGCATGCGCGTCGGGCAGCGCGTGTTAATTGCAATTGTGAGTGCAAGTTTTTTCCCAACATCGCCAACAACAACAACAAACAAATTTGTATGACAACTGCTATAACAACAACAAAATGCTCCTAATGCAATGTATTTGCACGTTTTTGTGTTTTTGGCGAAAAACATTTAAGCCAAATTTGGTTGCAGTTAGTTTTTTTGCGCTTTACGCGCGCGCGTTATACTTTTATAAGCGCGTAGCGATATGTATGCTCAACATACATGTGTATGTACCATACATAAGTGTTTGTAATGACACTTATGCCTCCATGCAACTATGGCTGTTTTGCACAAATTTATAGTAATGCGGAAAATTGCTATATTGAGCTTGCCTAGTGACTTGGTGTAACCGATCTTGCTGCATTGCTTGTTTACTTCCATGTTTTTGTTCAACAGCAAGGAAATGTGTTAAATGCTTATTTCTTTACATTTAATGACTCAAGGTAAATATTAGTTTTGTTCAGCTAAGAGGAACCCCCTCAAATATTTACAGTTCTAGACCAAGTTCAGTTAACCCTGCATAAGTTCAAACAGTATTTCCAGAGATTTTCCTTTGTTATCGTCGCCAGCATATGCTACGTACCACTCCACAACCACCCAACGACCCAACGACGACAGGCCTTTAACGGCATTCACACAGATACAGTCTCGTGCTATGTAGACTCTCGACCTGTCCTGTGAATGCCGTTCAGAGCATACAACTACCAGACGTAGACGAGTCAAAACTTCGTCTGCCTCGGGAGACTCGGACCACAATAGTCCAACTGCGCTCTGGTCTGCAGCAGGTTGAACTCATACCTGAGCAGAATAAACGAGGATGTTCTAAGCGAATGCCCGGCATGCGGAGAGACGCCCCATGACTTACAGCATGTTTTCGCATGGCCACTGAACCCCACCCTACTGACACCACTGTCCCTATGGACACACCCCATCGAGGCTGCACGCCTCCGGGAGCTACCGCTAGTAGAGCTTGACGATAACGATTGAGGGACTAACCGATGTGGGCGCGGTGGTTGTAGTCGTTACAATAACAACAATAAGAATAGTTGCAATAGTTCATTTTTGTAATGAAAAAAAAAACAAACACATTTTAATTTTCAATAAATTTTTTATTTACGCGACACAATTTTTATTTGACATGAAATACTAAAATGTGACTTATACAGTTTACAAGTTTCATTTCTTATTTAAGAACTAAACTAAAATAGACTAAACTAAGTGAAACAAACAATTGAACGAAATATACACACGCAACATTTATAAATTTTACATCAGTTTACTACTAAGTATGTATATGTATGTATGTAGGTATTTTGTATGTATTTGTGGTACTGAGAAATTTTTTATAGTAAGTTTTTGCTATTGCAATATCAACGGTATATATGAATTTTTCTACCAATAACGCTTATTTTATTTAAGTAATCCTCTGTTCTTTTTTTCGTATTGTATTCTATGTATGTTAGTTTGAAAAACCAAAGATTCGTGTAGCACAAGAGCCTAGTAGTTGTAGACTAGTTTGTATTGCTATTGGAATTTCTTTCATTTTTTTTTTTCTGAGTAATACATATGTATGTATGGGCATGTTTTTATACGTACGCGTGTTGATTAATCTATGATTAAAATTTGATTAAATTAATATGCTTGCATTTTTTGTGGCAGTTTATGTTCTTTTGCTGTTTCTTTCTTTTGTTCGAATATACAGATTACTACTTGTCGCTGAATATGGACCATTCACATTTGTTATATATCTAGAGTACGCTCTTTTTATTGAACATTATCTATTGGATAAATATCTGATGTTGTTTTCTTTTTGCTTTGTTTATTTTCACTTTTCATTCTATTACATTAATAACATTCTACTTTCATATGTATTTTTATGAGTAGTACATTCACATGAACATCTGAATATATATGTATGTATGTATGTATGTATATGGGAATAACTTGAGTCGTTTATTATTGAGTGTAGTGGTGCGGCAACATATTTTTGAGTTGAGTCGAAATTTAGCTAATCTTCATACTCCGCCAGAGACCCACACCTTTTTTTATTTTTTTTTTATTTTCTTTATTTATTAGCTTAATTACATTTTAACATATTTGATATTATAAGTAGATACTGTCTTCCATTAAAAGTATATATGTACATACATATATCTATAAGTGACTGACAAAGGCATTTATATTAAACATAAATAATAAAAAAAAAAAAATAAAGTTAAATAACTTAAACTTAGTTGGGATACATCGGTCATTAAAAAATTATGCGCTTAATTATATAAAAAAAATTGAAATGTTGCAATTCGCTTAAATTTGAGCGATTTAAATATAATAAAATCCTTCAGTTGCTACTTGTCGCTCGGCCCTACGCTTTTCACATAAAATTAAAATCACAATTTTAAAGACTTGATGTGTTGTTGTATTTTTTGTTTTCATTACTTTGATTAACTTTTTAATATTTATTTTTCGTTTAGTTTATTTTTTTTTTTATGGTAGATGTCTATGGCGCGTCCCTTAATGCCACATCGGGCCTCTAAAAGAATCAAAACACCACTGCATGTGCATTCTCTTGTGCTGTTTTTAATTTCAAATTTAATATTTTCAGCATTTCAATGTTGTTTTTCTTAACTTGCAAATAACTTAAGAGTTTTATATAAGCAAAATATCTGTGTATATATATTTTCGGAAAAATATCTAAAGCCGTATATTTTTTCAATATTTCGCTCTTACTTAATAGATCCAATTTAAACATTTGTGATCGTTTTCTTTATAGATTTTTTTTTATATAGAAATTTTTGAAATAAATATATTACTTAGTCGCCAAATTGTTGTAATATTTTTCGAATTATAGCTAAATTTAAAAAAAGGCGCAACTTTAGAATTTTGAATGGATTAGTTAATACTTGGTGTTTGTTTTTTAGTGTTATTTTGTAATAATATTCGATTTTTAAAAAGGTTTCCCAATTACATATTAATTCAAGGCACAATTTAATAAATTGAGAAAAAATTGTTTAAAGCTTTTTTACTAACAATTAGTTCTAATAATGTAAGTTTGAGTTGCTTGGTTAAAATTTTTTTAAGTGTATGTTTTATTTAAAAAAATTTTTCCTGTTCGAGTGATTTCCAATTGACTGGAGCGCTGCTAACATTTCAAGTTGAAGTTACTTACAAGTGTATTTATTTTTCTAAAGATAAAAATTACCGATTAGAAGCTGCAAGTAAAGAAGAAGAAAATTTAACATTCAATATGAGATATGTATGTAGCTATTGATAAAATTGATTAGATATTAGACTGAGTCACCTTACAAGCAAACAAAAAAGTCTTAACGATTTTCGTAAATTCTACTGGGGCAATCAAAATACTTCCTATGCAAAAGTTTAATGCTTTTTGGAGAGCTTTAATTTACTGACATTAGGTGAGTAAGTACTAAAATGGGGTACTTGCGGTCCATGAACTTTGAAACAAAAAAAAATGTTCAAAAACATCCATATTTCATACTTTAAGAAAAATGTAAGAAGGCAGCCAAAATAATGCTATCGAACGGGCAAATATAAGATGGTCTGCGGAGCCTACTTGAAGGAAAGCAAGACACATCTGGCCTCCGCTTGGAGCGACCACTGCTCCGACATGTTATTGGAGTTCTCACCGGGTATTGCCTAATGGGAACCCACGCTTCTGTCTACTGTCGTAGCTGCCGTGATGAGGAGGTAATCGAAAGTGTGCAGCACTACCTATGCCACCGTCCCGCTCTGACGAGGGCTCGTCGACGCTCTTTCCTCCATTATTCTTTTGAATGTCTGGCTGAACTGGATTCAGCCAGTATCTACGACTTTGTGCGCTTAATCTGAGCTACGAATTGGTTCCATTTCTAAGGTTAGAGGAAGGATATGGAATCTCTAATATGGCATAACAACGGGCCCATGGTGGCCTGTGTGTGCCCTTTTCTTGAGGGATAAGGACAGCCGAGTAAACGAACCTAACCTAACCTACATATATACAGTGATCCAAACAATTATTTGTGCAGTGATTATTTTTACAATATTCGCAAATTTTTTCATAATACTCCTTTTCGTTAATTTTCCACAAAAATATAGTTCATATTCTAACCAAATTCATGTAAATAACGTTTTTAAACTTTTTACAAAACTTCAAAAATTTAAAAAAAATTTCATAAAATATTCAAAATTTGAATTCCGAATTTTTGGAAAAATTTAAAATAGGTATACTGAAATTGAATGACCTACGAAATGGAGCACTCAAAATTGTCGTAAAAATTTTGAATCAAAATTTTGAAATTTTGATGAAAATTTTTTGAATTTCTTAGAATTAGTAAAAGACTTTAAAACTTTATTTATGGTATATGATTTTTATTGGAATATGAACTACATTTTCATGAAAAATTAACGAAAACAGATTATCATGAAATATATTTGCGATTATTTAAAAATAATTACTGTAAAAATAATTATTTTGACCACCTATAAGATTTAACAAAATTTCAAAATATGAATTCAGAATTTTTCGAAAAATTTATCTAAAAATTCTGAATTCAAATTGTGAAATTTTGTTGAATTTTTTTTGAAATGTTTAGGTTTTGTAAAAAGTTTGAAAACTTTATGAAAGATTTCATATTAAGCGAGATATCTCCTACTTCCGTTACTGCCACTACGGTTGAGCTCTCCAGGGGTGCCCTGGCTTTGTTTTCTGCTAATCTGGTACCTCCTCTTTCGGAATATAGGGTTGTCGGGATTGCTTTATAATCACATTCAGTTCTCTTGAACTCTTCAGAAACCCGAGGGGAGAAAACGAGGATCTCTACTGCCGGAGTTTGTGGTCAGATCTCTCACAAGCACCTGTAGGAAACTCGACTTTATCCTAGAGGCATCTTGCCTAGGATTCCACTACAGCTTGCAAAGCTGGGAAATCACTGTGATGGGCAGCGGAGCTCACTGATCTTATGTCGTCAGGCATACGATTATTGAATAGAGTATGTAGAACTAAGTTAAGCACCTTCGGATTGAGTAATTTACAAAGAGGACTAAGACTTTACGAGTCCAAAATATAGAAGCTTAAATCGCGCTCATGGCTGGCCTTCTGCGAAGATGACGAGGGGAGCCATGAATCATCCAGACTCCTACTTGCATCCTTACTCTCTTGGGATATTTTAGGTACGAGATGGGAAGATTGACAACGATTACGCTTCTCCTCAATGCCCATTTCTCATGCAACCCAGCATGAGGGAAACTTCCGATTTCAGCACGAAATACGGTGGTACCACCATTCCGGGCTTACTCTATGAGAATCGTCTACCTTGCCGCAATAAACTCTACGAACGAGTGATACCAGACGGCATTATACTTGCCCAGTTTCAAGAGATTCTGTAAGTGTCCTGTCATGGGTTGACATTACTTGCGCTATCCTCAGGGCTTGGAGAGTTGTCAGGTTGACGTTCATACCAGCTAGCTTCTTTTCGTCTTTGCTAAAAAACCCAGGAAACACTTAATGATCTGCACAATAGGAACATGATTCCTCGTGACTATTATCTCATCCAAGGGTAGGTGGACTTCGAGCAGTGGACTTTCTGAATATCTTAGTAAGATGGAGCTTGTCTTGTTCATCAGCAGATACTTTTTGACAGAGCCAAGTGCTTGGGTTTACTTCTAGGCAGGAAGTCGTCGCGGAAGCCTAACAATGAAGAAAGATTGAACAAGGCATCAATTGATTAGCGTTTTTGGGAGGCTTGGACTGGTGGACTGTCTTGGAGAAGACCTAGTCAGTACTGAGGACCATATCCACTCTGGCGACAGTTGATATCGTGTATAATGCTGTTGCGCTGTTGCAGTCGAAGACAAATATCAACTCTCACTTGCACACGGCATTTCTTTCGGCTCCTCCGAGTATTCTGGTTTGATTTATATAGTTGCCAGTCTCACTTTTATTTCAGGAAATTCTGCGATGGTTGAGTTGGCCAAGCAAGACATCCCCAATGAGTGCTTTTGACTACATATGGTCCCGTATGAGTTCAACGAACGCTGAGCGAAAACCAGGACATGTGCTTCTGCAAGGTCTATCTGGCACAGGGCCTTTTGGGATCCTTTTAGGCTCACGAAGCCGACAAACATATAAAAAATATAGCGCTAACTATTTCTAGTGTACCAGAGCTGCAGCCAAGTTGCCAATGAGATGATCACCTCCAAACATTTCAGGGAGTGTCTTTCCATTTCAACTTGTGACAGTGAGAAATATGGTAATACTGCTGGATACCAGGGCACTTCGATATTGGCAAGTCACCTATTTTTGTAGAGACTGGAACTATTTTGTAGACACTGTTGGTAGCCTTCGAACTTTATGATTACTGAGTTGGTAAAATCTAAACTTAGGAATTTTTGTGAAGAGATAGAAATGGCTCGTTCACTGAGAAGATAGAAAAAGATAAATTTAATCAAAATGTTTTCAAGGATTTTAAGAGCTCGCCGTGCTTTGAACGAATTCTATTGCTATCAATCTTTCTCTATTTTTTCCAGACTCTAATTACCAGAAAGGAATGTCACAAATGCGAGCTAATCAATTTCTAAATCTTCTTTATACATATAATATTGATTGGCCTGTTGCTAAAAGTAAATAACGTTGCCATTAGTCGTCATTTATATTAAGCAATCACAACATTTTACTCGGTCGTCTTAGCCTTCACAAAAATTGAAGAAAATTACGCAAAGTGAGAAAATAAGCAAAAAATGCAACCATTCGAAGAGTTGCTGTAATGGAAGCAACTTCATAGCTTAATGTTGCAACATTTAACTGGGATACACAGAATACCAACTCGCTACTTAGAATAATGTAATTTGCAAATTGAATCGTGTCTGCAAGTCTCGACTTCCCATTCGCTCTACGACTGCGACGGTCTGACGCCAACGCAAACTTCTATAGTGGAGCGTGTCAGTCGGCACCTTTCAATGTTTACTTTGATGACAGTTGCTGTTATTTTTGCCCTTAGATTATTTTAAATTTTCTGTTTATTTTGCTATGCTAATATTGTCTTCTTATTTGCTTATTTGCATTTTGGTTGAACGCCTCTGCTCAGCCGTTGAAACTGGTGCAGTGAGGCTGTGTGCTTTACTAAAGGAGTTTTACAATTACGGTTCGTTAGAAATCATTTCCTCTTTTGGAATAATTCCTTTGCCAACTGTTAACATTTTTCAATTGGAATTGTGTAATTTATCAACTAATGAAGTTCGTGTCTTCAGTTTTTAATTTCGAACTTCAATAATGCAAGCAAACTAATGACATACGGCAAGGTAATGGAATTCTATGGAAGGTATGTAGTGCGTTTGGAAAAGTTGGTAAATATTTTAGGCTATGCTATTGCTATTCTTAAACAGATTAAGCTATACATATGATAAAATTGTAACATTATGTATATTAAAAAATAAAATTATTTAATATGGAGCAACAGAATCCAAATCAACAATTTTTAGAATTTTTGTCTGTCTGTATGTTTGTACGCGTATCACTCGAAAACTAATGCACGGAACCGTATGTAGTTTTCACCAATGTATTTCTTGAGGTCCAACTTAATATACAGAAAAAAAGTTTTAAGAGTTGCCACCTGTTTAAAAATTGCATTTTGGGTAAATAGGTAAGATAAATTAAGTATTGCAATATGGCTGTTAAACCAAAGAGGTCTAAAAAGGCTTACAGCCGAAAAAAAATTTTGTGGAATATTGCCATCTGTTTGAAAATTGTAATTTAACTAAATTATTAAGATAAATCAAATATTGCAATTTGAGTATAAAACTAAGTGAGGTTTATGAAAGTTTATTGTCGAAAATTTTTTTGAGGGGGTTGCCACCTGTTTGAAAAATGTTTTTCATTTAAATTGATTAAATAGATGAAATATTATGATACTGGTGTTAAACTTCATATGATGGAAGATGACCAGCAATAAATTCGATCTACGCTTGGGAAGGTTATAATGATTAGAAATTTTAAAGGTAGTTGGAGCAATTCGCGCGAAAGACTAACCGACGTCTAAGACTCCAATAGGCTCTTTCCTACTGTTTCTTTTTACTGAATGAAAAATTCATAGAAGTTGCTAATGAAAGATGGCGAATGGAACCGTCCAGAGCATCCCATATTTTCTCTGCCATTTTCCGGCTCTATCAAAATCGATATTCAGCGAACTTGATGACCTCAAAGCGATGAGTGCCAGAAGCGTTTGCACCTTTTTCTAAGCACCAAGTGGTTAAGAGGGGAACGGAGATAAATAAAAAACCTCATGCGGTATCACAAAAGACCCTGAGTCTAAGTGAGTCCCAATTAGGACTGCCGCTTAACCTAACCTACTGTTCCTTTAGCAATTCAACGCTTTTCAAATTGTCTAACTCTATCAACCGCTGTCGTTCTCAGAGAAAAACCATTGCACTCATCTAATTCAGGCTCGCATCACATCCAACAACAAGGAGCCGCAGCATCTTCGCGAAGCTCACCTGAACAACAAAAATTCCCTCGACTCGCTAACCCGCATCCCTGTCGGACCACCGGGTAGAGACGAATAAGCAGTTTCTAGAACCTCAAACCGCCTGCACCGTGTGCCTAGCTAAAATATGGCCGAATTTGATATTATTGAAATGAAATTCTTGCTTTGATTAGCGCACCACTCGTGAGTAGGCAAGTGGCTGGCTACCTTGCACCTTGTTGAAGCAATCGACACCTGCGATACTGGCAATCTCACCTCCAGAAAGCGCAGCAAACATCAGGTGGGAAACTCCAATTATCCCGTGTCCTTTACTTTCCTATTGTGATAACCTCTACAGATAAGTAGACTTAAGTTCTCCAAATCAACGAAATTCACGGTAAGATCGAGGAGGTGGCCATTTGTATGGATAAGCAAGAAAATAAGAGAGCAAGTTGCTTGGCAACTCAATCCTGTTAAGTTGCGCTCAATTCAAATGGTCTGTTGAGATGGCAAGCGAGATAACGCTCATTACTCACCACATCCACATGCCACACAAGGTATTTCAGTTTCAGCAGCTCGCCTGATTCCATCAGGACGCTTGCCGGAAACCCGCCCCCATTTAGCGGCGTAGACCGCTGTCCGCTTTCGGGACCTTAACTTTGTAATTGAACAACTGGTTAGCGCGATACTACTTCATTCGGCGTAGCACCCGAATAAGCACTCGTTAGGAGCATAACGTTCTTGTGGGCACGTTAGACTTTCACTGGACCCGACGCGGTACAGACAGATTATCAACGATATTCACCCCCGTCAATGAAGTCGCCGGAGTTCAAAACCCACCTATTGCGGAGCGCTAACTGCCTTGAGAAACCTGGCCTGTGTACTGTAGCAGGTTAGTTATTGAAATGGTATTGAAATTACAATTTTATTTATTTAAATACATACACGTTTACATAATTTACTTACCTCAGGATAACGCATTAAAAGTCCGTTTAAGCACTATTTTAAACATTTTTTTTTTTAAATTGATGGCAACATCATTCTCTATTTTTCCATGCGCACTCATTCCGCATTTTGTCCAATATGCTTTGATAGTTTTTGTTTAAAGTACATACGTATGGATGTAAGCATATATGTATGTATGTATATGGCAACAACATCAATAATCGGCCCCGCAATTTCCCTTACACCTCTCTCAAATGCATTTCCTGCCAAAATGACTACAAGTACAATGTCGCTTGTTGACGATGATCAAAATGATGTATATATAATTTTTTCTTTGACTTCTCTTTGGATGGCCGCAGATCCCAGACTAAATTCGATAGACTACGCGGGCGCGACAGACGGCGAGTCTTCTTTTCGGGCAACTTATTCGAATCGCCGGAGGTGCGTCCACCACTGCGTGACGAGTCGAGTGTGCCTTCGCGCGGATTGTGATGTACAACGCCCACTCCCACTCCCATTCCCATACCCATACCTAAGCCCGCCACAGCTGCCAATCCACCAGCAGTGCTGGCGCTCTTGCTTAGCGGCGGGGGTGGTGGTGGTGGTAAGTGAGATGAATGATGCGTCTGATGGTTGAGTATGCTGCTACATTTGAGTACCACATCGGGTGGCACTGCGGCTGACTGGTTACCTTTGGAATTGCTTGAGATCGGAGTTGCGGCAATTGAGGTATTTTCGGGCGTCAATTGCAAACTACTGAGGCTCTTGTACCTGAAAGAGGGGGTGAGAGAGTTTTGATAAGCGTGTGTGATAGATACAACAGTAACTATTCATGTTAATAGTAACATTAATATACACATTATACTCATATTCGTACTCATATTCATATTCATATCCATAGCTATATTTATATTTATATTCATATTCATATTCATACCCATATTCATTTTCATATTCATATTCATATTCATATTCAGTCATATTTATATTCATATTCATATTCCTGTTCATATTCATATTAATACTCATATTTATATTTATATTCATACTCATATTCATGTTCATATTCATATTTATATTCAAAGTCCTGTTCATACGTTTTCATATTCAGAGTCGTACTCATAAGCATAGTCATATTTATTTTCAAATTCATCTTCATATTCATGTTCATATTCATACTCATATTCATATTCATATACATATTAATATTCATGTTCATACTGATATTCATACTCAGACTCAAACTCATACTCATACTCATACACTTGCTCATATTCGTATTCAAATTCATATTCAACATCGTTTTTTTGTATTCGCCCTCATGTTCATATTCGTCCAAACTCTTATTCCAATTTACTATTCATACCCGTAGTGGGGTCAAGTCGGATTAAATTTTTCTCTCCCTACTATAAAAGTGTTTCCCGCTCCGATGCTTACCTTATATGAAAGAGTGGCGACTGTGGTTCCAGATTGCATTCCTTATTCGCTACCAGAATACCGGCGCTAAGTGGCCCGTTCGCAGAGTGTACAACATTATTGTTGCTGTTGCTGTTGCTAGGAGTCAGCACCCTGCCATGGTGATGATGAGCATGATGCGCCGCAACTGCTGCAGCTGTAGCATTCACCACAGCGGCCGTCGAATTGCCGGCATGTGGGTGTTGCGGCTGCGTTGAGTGATGGTGATGCTGATGATGGCTACTCGATGCAGACGCTCCTGTTGCCGCTGCCGCCGCCACAGCTGCTGCTGTCGCACCAGTGGCCGTATTGCTGCCCGCACTGTGTGTATTCTTCAGATAAAGCTTTGGTAGTGTGGGACGTTGCCGCTTCTCTGGCAACTTCTTTCCTGGTATGGTCTCGATAGGCGGTGGCACTGGTTTGATGTCCTCCTGCACATGGCTGTGATGGTAGTGATTTACTATCGCTCCACAGCCTGACTGGTGCGCATGTGGGTGCGCGTGTGGATGTGGATGCGTGTGACTGTGGTGATGATTGTGGCTGTGGTTTTGATGATGGTGGTGATGGTGATGATTGCTACCACCACCACTACCACCCCCGCTGCCACCTGTGTTATGGTTGTTGTTGTTATTGTGGCTCTGATTGCTGCTATTGTGACTGCTATTCGTATTTGTGTTCGCCTGCTTCACCGACTCTAAACTGCTGTAGTTGTTGTTGTTGTTGTTGGTATTATTGTTGCCGCTACCAACACCACCACTATGGTTAGTGTTACTGCCACCACTGGCATTTAAGCTATTGGTGTTATTGTTGTTATTGTTAGCATTATTGCTGCTCGCCTGCGCACCCACGCGTATGAGACTGCAGTAGTTGCCACTACTGTCCGTGTGATGCGACTTGATTGTTGGCGTTTCGCAGATGGGCTCAAACCGTGTCAAACCTTTAGAGAGGGGCGTCAAACCACGCACATAATCATAAATGTGATCGATTTCGTTGTACTCCTCAGCGATTTCGGCGCTGGTGAGTACGCCCGCTGCACCGCCGACGCCCTTGCCATAGGCATCACAACTGGCGCTCTTGCGCAGCACATATCCATTTTCCATGAGGCCGCCAGCGACGGCCGCAGATGGCAGCATAACCACGGGCAACTTGTTGCGACTACTAAACTTGGAGTCCTTCTTCTCCTTCTCCGACAGTTTGAGATCTACTACTTGCAGGCGATCGCGCGCATCCGACAGCAAACGCTGCGCCTTGTCCAGGAAGCGCGTATACTCGATGAAGTGTTCCAGCTGATCCATGTTGCGTGCACGTTGCAATTTAATTTTAACATTGAGCGGCACTGGCACCAAATCGTTGTCCTTCTGCAGCGGTAGCGCAAATATGCGATCGATTTCCACACAGCCGAGTAGACGCAGCTCCGGAACGAAAGGCTGCTTGAGACCTTTAGGGGCACTGCCGTGAACGAGTCTAGAAGAGAGCATAAAGAAGAAACGGTAAGATTATGACTAGAAGAGAACAGACATATGATACAAGGCAGAAAAATGGATGGCGCGAACCTATACATAGCAGAACTTCAAGTTAGTTATTTAGAACGCTGAAGCTTTTAGAGAGCTAGAGCCAGAGCTTGAATGAATTCCTATCAACTTTAGATCACAGAAAAAAGTTGCTGGCAAGGGGACGTTTATGACTGTTTGTTTTTTAGCAATAAATTTTCTTCTTAAAACAGTTAAGACTAAAAATTAAAGAAAATTACATAAAAAAAAAAATAATAATAATAAAAGTTTATAAAAATTAAGTGATATTAAAAAATGTGTTTCTTTTTAAAACGATAAATTTTAACAACTAAAAGAAAATTAGATTCAAAAAGAAAAATCTAAGTAAAAAGAGAAAAAAATAAGTTCGTGAAAAGTAAATGAAATTAAAACATAAATATTTTAAAATATTATAATCCAATAATTAAAGGAAATTAAATAAAAAAAAAATTATAAAATTTATAAAAGAAGAACTAACTTAAGTTTCCATAAATTAAACAAAAAAAATTATTTTTCCAAAAAGTTAAGTAAGATTTTGTTAAAAAAGAAACAAATATAATTAAAAACCTGAACAAAAATGGAACTTTATAAAAACTTAAAAAAATACAAACAATAAAAATGAAATGGAAAAAGAAAGTAAAATAAAACAAGTTTCTAAAAATTAAGACAAATAAAGAAAATATTTGTGTTTCCTTAAACAACAAAATCTAAAAATTAAATGAAACGCTAATTGAAAAAGAAAAAAATCCACCTGTCCGAGGACTCGAACCTCGAGTTTTTTTTGTCAAAAAGCTTTTCACCATGAAAGTTGGCATGAGCGCTTTTTTGTAGGACTTTCGTGCCGGAATAAACAAAATCTTTCTATCTTGCCTACTGCCTTTCAATTGCCTTAGAAAAGTCTTCCAACTATCTTAACCAGAATTGCACTGTTAGAAGGTAAAACAATGAAAGAAAAAAATTCGTGTTGCTCCACAAAAATTCTGAAATGGATTTCTGCGGCGTCATTACGACCCACGATAATATATGGAGCGATTATCTGAGTTGCTAGAGCTAAAAAACGGAGGCGGACTTGGTTTGCATACTTCAATTATATTTTTTATGACCTATTAACGTAGTAAGGCTAGATTGAGAAAGGCGGGCATAAAACTCCTCAAATAGACCGAATAGACCCACAGTGTTACCAGACAAACACGAAGAAGAACGTTGACGAATGTGTGCTTTTTGTCGATCGCCAACTGTGCACCCTAGAGGCGACGGACACCCAGTATCGCAGGTTTTCGCCTGCCGATAGCTGGGCACTCGCAGATTATGTCCTCTGCAATTTCTACCAGCAAAGTACATTTCTGCACTTTTTGTTGTCAACTAAAATTAAGCCTCCTTTTTTGAGAGATTATGAAAAGCTGGCAGGTTTTTTTTTTTGTACTTGAGGGTATAAGTGAGATATATTTGAGGATCTTCTTTCAAGAAAAGCCAATATGGCTTACAATAGGCGAACTAATTTTTGGAAATAGCTCTGCCGCCAAAGCTATTGCTCGAAATACGTTATAGTGAGTCGAAAGCTTAACCAATACACTTTCATTTAGTCTTGAACAGTAAAATATAGCTTCTATTTCCATTGCAGAATCGTCTTTCGTATATGTGAACAGTGATTTCTATTTCACCACAAACTTACGCCAACGGTCAATTTGTTCGGATGCAGCAGACTTTTCGAAGCTTATGCACGGTGTCAAGTAGATTATTAAGTAAAGACCTGAGGCATTTTGTGCTGAATTTCATCGGAAACAGCAAAATCGTCAACCTTCTTTTAGAATCAAAGAGCTGCGCAGAACTAGATATTGCAGATAGGAAAGATGACGACCTATATGGTAGCCAATCTTAACCTAAACGGTACTGCACAAGTGCGATTACCATCCAGAAGAGAATCCATGTCTATACCGGGAGATTCAAAATGAACTGCGTTAAAGGAGCGGGAACTCGGCATCGATCTGTCTCCACGTCTCGGAAAAGATACAGTCATCTTCCAATCGGAAGTTCTAGTTATCTTTAAGCCTGTAAAATCTTAGGTTATAAGTCGGGAACAAAAATATGACAGCGGCAATATTATTAGCAACAGCATATACGGTTATAAAATATCAACCGGTCAAGAAATGCAAAAGGAAGTTACGCTCAATGACTCAGTCAACGACAGTCTCTCTTGCTTGGTTTTCCGGACATGGAGCTTAGAAGGCACAGAGAGAGCTGATGAATTGGAAAAGCTAGATAAACTTGTGATAATATTAAGACGTTCCTATTATACAACCTGCTGTAGTTGTCAGTTAGCGGAATGCCCAGGCCTTTCGAATATTAGATATACATAAACACTAGGAAGACCCATAAATTCATCGGCGAATCCAGATAGTACGAGTAATCAGCCTAGACTTAACATAACATAAACAAAACTAATTTCCCACGAGAATTGCATCAAAATGGCGCCAAAATACGCGAATTGGGTTTTAGGTAGCTACTACGATAGTAAATTCCAAAGTGCTCAGTGATAGATGAACCCAAAATCCTTCTCAAAAGGACATTTTCACCTACCTCACAATGACTGGCATCCTTTTGAGTAGTAGATTCTTCACCGTATGCACTCCGCTAATGCTATCCTCCTTGGCTATCGGTGAGAATTTCGCTTTGGTATCGAGTGGCAAATTGACAATCTCATCTTTGATATTCTTACACTGCAAATATTTGCCATTATCGTTCATCGTCGTCAGCAATTCGCCCGCGTGAATGGTGCGATTCATTTGGGTGCACCGAAAAGTTTCACGCACCAAAACGCGCAAATTGCGACGTTTCGACAGCTCCAGCACCGAATCGATGCAACGCGTCGAACGGCCATCTTCGCTGAGTAGCTCAAAGTAGCCGGGATATGTTTCCGGTATGAGCACCTTGGCGCCGACATTTGTCGTCTTGCGACCCTCCTTAATTTTAATCGGTTGCGCGAGTATCTGATACTTTTTGCCAGCGCTCAGAAATAACGCCGTACTTTGCAGCGATGGTGCCGATAGTGTGGGCACACCAAGATTCTGATGTTGTCCCTTGATGATTTTCGCAACAGCTGGTAATTTTTGCTTGGAAAATTCACGCAGATACACAGGCGGTTCGGTGTCACCAAAACGGGAGGCGGCCAATATTATTTGGCCATCCGTTGCGGCCATGTCGCGATTGAAGAATGAGAGCAGTTTGTTGCGCGCAATGCTAACATTAATGTTGAGTAAATTTCATTGGGATTGCGGCACCGCTGTAGCTGTCGCAGTGGCTGTTGGAGCTACTGCTGCTGCTGCTGCTGCTGTCTCCGCCGCTGGTGCCCCGCTACTAACGTACTCGACGCAAGTGTCTGGAAGTGGCGGAAGTGTCGTTATCGTTGTTGTTGCTCTCGTAGTTGTCGTTGGGTTGGTTGGGTGAACTGTTTCGATATGTGCGCTTGGGGTTTCTGCTACTGCTATCGCTGGCGAATTGCTGGTACTGTGGTATGTGGTTGCTAATGTTTTGCTCGTTATGTTGTGGTGCGTTTGCCGATGGTTATTGGGGTTATGCGTAGGATAATTTATGTCCTTGTTGTTGTTGTTGGCATGTGCACTAGTAAAAGTGTGCAAATGCGGATGGATGTTGTTGTTGTTGTAGGCGGTATTGGTGTTCGTGTTGGTGTTGGCGGTTGCGGACGTTGTGAGGAACCGTGAGGATGTTTGCAGTGCGTAGGTGAGATACTGCATTCGGGTTTATATCGCTAAGCTCCGTCGTTAATTGAATTGATATGATTGGGATAACCTGCGTAGCGAAACGAATTTTTCGTGTGTTGACTCTTGAGTTGATATCTGAAAAAGTGAAGTAAAATATTTTTATTAGTGTGATTTGGAAAAGGGGTGCGAAAATTAAAATGTAAGATTACCCAAAAGAAACTTAACTTAAAGAAAATTATTTCTAAGTTACTCATTACTTATTTCCTTAGTTTGCTAAATTTGGCGAAATGCATTTTTTGTCTCTAAAAAAATCCGATTCCATGGCGTATAAACGAACGACATAATCCAAAAATATGTTTGATGTGTAAAAAGCTTAGCTCTCGGTATAGGTAAAATTTGCATTGTCTAAGCAGAAAATTTGTAACTGGCTCATGTCTCTTTCAAGACCTTAACGGGACTTATTCACAGCTAGTATAGGACCATTTCGAGATTTGTTATGGACTATTTCAGAAACATTTCGTAAATAGTTCGGGATAATTTTGGGACTTGTAAGGTACCATTTCGGGACCGTTTCAAAACTGGTTCGAGATCCCTTCGGGATAAATCCCCGACCTTTTCAAAACAATTTTGGGACTATTTCGGGCTCATTTCAGAGTAGTTCGAACTAAGCATGAAATGATCCGGAACTACTCCAGAAGTGATAATGGAAAATTCGTTTACCGCTCCCTAGGAAATGAACACAATTCAACTAAATTAATGTTTAATTTAATTTGGGACCGTTTCGTCACCTGTTCCGCTCTATTTCAGGTCCACTGAGGGATTGTTTCAAGGCTATTTTAGCACCATTCCGGGACTAGTGCAGGACTATTTTAAGAACATTTCGGGTTGGAGATCATTTTGGGATTTTTAAGGGATAAGTTTGGGACCAAAACGGAACAAACTCTTTGAAAACTGGTTCAAGACTTTTTCAGTTCCACTTCAGGACTAGGTACTTCAAAAAAAAATTTCGAGACAAGTTTGGGATCATTTCGGGGTGGTTCAAAGCCTGTAATTTTTTGTTCCACTCCGTTAAACTTAAGAAAAGAATTTTCATTTTTTCGCCAATATACACTGAAAACAAACATCAACCAACAATTGGTTAAAGTGATTTTTGTTTAATATTAACAATGCCATGGTTGATATTTTCAACAATTGTTTGGTAATATTAACCACACTTTTGTTTACATTACACCAACATTCTGGTTGCTGATTTTTTCATTTGAATACGTTTATGTTCTGCACTTCGCAGATGCGCTTTCATAATTTGGAGATACAAAACAAAATTTGTTATTAACATTTTAACACATTGCCTCTAATGGGATTAGAACCTGCATCTTCTGAATGTTAGCAAATAACAGCAAGCATCTTTGCAAACTCAGCTACAGTTGCTTTATGAATGTGTCTGCAAATGTTCAACTTTAATCAAATTTCTTCGTCGTTTGATTTTGGTTCAGCAATTCACAGATGGTTTTTCGTAATTGAGAAAAACAAAAAGAAAATGATAATGTTCAATGTTAAGATTTTATGTATAACCATAAAAACTATTGCAACATTATGTTGAAATTGTTGCCCATCATGAGTAACACAACAAATAAAGCTTCAACTACATAAATATTTAAATTTTTTCTGTTGTTTCTTCC